TTCATGGCTTATGATCTGTTAAATTTGTAGTTTTCTTTATTGGTTTTAAGTGTTTATCTTAAAACTCAAGTTTCTTGGTTCTTTGCTTTTGGTGTAAATCGAACACATTTGTGGAGTCGTTTAAATATGTTGGATTTTAACTGTCATACAATTTTTTTCATCGATAGTCTGTAATTGTAACCATAACTCTTATTTATTCAAATTGTATTAATATGTAAAGACCATAACATATATCATCGTTAAATCTTATCTTATAAAACCAGTGGAACTTCAAAATCGTTAAAATTCATAGCTCACGCCGCATTGCACGGGTACACAACTAGTATGTCATAATACACGTCAGGGTCCCTGTGACATGCGGTATGACATGTGATAAGGGCAGGGGCAGATCCAATGGTTAAAAGGGGGGTCAAAGGACCCCAGTCAAAAAGTCAAAAAAAAATTTACCTAGGTTAAATTTTAGGATTTTACATTACTTAGCTTCACTTCCCCCCATTAGGTTTTTCCAAGGGCTCCCAACAGTTGCCGGCGATTTTTGTTTCATCGGTGCCCACTCTGCCTTCGGTAGGTATGCTTCATTTATGCTTCTGTTCTGCTTCTGCTTGTCTTCATTTATGCTTATGCAGTTCTGCTTGTCTGTGACAGATGCATTTCGCACACAGATCTGTGCTTCATGTTTTACATTAGTTATTTAGTTACCTTGTGAGTTGTGAAGTTGTGATGAAGCAGCAGTCCACAGTCCACACACAGATCTGCTTGTCTGCTTCATTACTGCTTCTGTTTACGCTTCATTACTGCTTTCTGCTTCTGCTTCTGCTTCATTTCTGCTTTGCCTTTTGGTTTGGTAATGGTTTAATGGACAATGGTTTACTGCTTCTGCTTTTAGTAAAAACAGAAGTGCAAAAAGCTCACTGTTACAACTTAAAGCATCAAAATGAGTGAAAAGCAAAAGAGTAGATAAAGAGTAGGTAGACATTGCTACATTGGGGCTTTTTAAGCTCTTAGTAAAGTGTAAACTATTAAATATTAATATGAGTAGGTAGAGCCTAGAGTGGACAAATACTAATATTTAATATATATATATATATATATATATATATATATATGATGTATTTGTCCCCTTGTTTTTACTAGAAGATGGAAAGATTTCTGAAAAAAATGCATCAACGTCCGATAATAGTGGAGAACCTTTAAACAACTTGCGCAATGATCTTCCCTCGATGCCTAGGGAAGTTGATTTCAATAATCTTCCATCGGATCCAACTGAAAGGAAAAGAATTTTACAATACCACCCTATTCAAAGAGATGGAATCAGACGAAACTAATTGATTAAAGGGCCGTGTTAACCACGTGGTCACAACTTTCCAAGAAGAATAATTGGGAACAAGGCAAGACGCTTTAACCCGGCTTGATTTGATCAATATGGTAATTGGTTGGATTATAGTTTAAAAGTAGATAAAGTTTTTTGCTTATGTTGTTACTTATTTAGAGATCAATGTGTTGGTACATTGTTAGTTTAAGCGACTCCAGTTTAAAAAATTTCTGGATCCGCCACTGGATAAGGGTGTTGTTGTAATATAAAAGTATTTTCTTTTACTCTTCCATGTTTATGAATTAGTTATTAGTTGATTAGATGGAGTTCTGGGATGAAAACATTCACGAAATTGTATATATGTAATAATAAGTTGTATACAAGTTGTATACTTGAATTTTTTGAGAAATTAAAACAATTTGTGACTTCAACTTGGTCTTTACTTTTGTTGTTGCTGGGTCTGAAGGGATTACATTAATTCTAGAATGTTGTACGAAGTTATAACACATGTAAATATTTTATTTCTATTTAATTCTTCGAGTATATTTACGATTTACGGTTAACATATTTACTATATTCATATTATTAGTTATTTTATTTGTTGTTTTCAGATAAATATTATCTTTTTGATGTTGCTTATAATACGAATACATGAGGATGTATGGCGTAGTATCATAATGTTAGATGTTGGCTTGGAGATTTTCGTTATCAAAAGTTTCACCATTCTCATACAAAACTTAGAAATGTAATTGAATGTCTTTGTGGGTGTCTTGAAACATATTTTCCAATCTGAAAACAATGACCCCATTTTCACTTGAGGTTCAACTTCAAAGACACGGTGTTTTTACATGTTTTGCGATTCACAACTTTATACGAAAACATGTTTAAGTAATGAATTATTTTCTGAATATGATCAAACTGACGTACAAAGGGACGATGACAATGATAAGGCTGAAGAGGTTCGATCCATTCCCATACAATCGATCAAGCAAACATGGCTAATGTAAATGAAAAATTGGAGAAATTAATGCAAAATGGAGATTGATTTTAGTTGTTACAAGTCTGTTCATATTTTCTTGATGTGTTAGGATCAAATAATGTATTAAAACCAAACAATTGTATATTTTGGTTAAAACAAGTTGTTAGTTTTTATAATTTACACATATTTAAACAGTTTCACAAATAGTTTTATTGATGCTAATTACAAAATCAGTATCACCTAACACCTATTATCAATAAAAAGTAAAATAAAACTATATCATTTTTCCATACATGAATACACTTGGTACCAAAGGGTCCAAAAACTCCACACTCTATTTTATTACTTACTATTTTTTCCGATTAACCTACCTATTATGCGAGCCGATTAATCGCAGTGCGACTACCTGCTTTGCGGGTAGCCTGGAGTCAGCGCATTTGAACCTTCGTGGCCAAAAGGGATTTTTTACTTGCTAATTGTGTACATGATGAAGATTTTTTTTTTATTAACCTGGATATCCAACCTGCTATGCAAGCCGACTAATCCCAGGGCGACCACATGCTTCGCAGATAACTCGGAGTCACTGCATTTGAACCTCTGTGGCGACAAAGAGATTTTTATTCCTCCTTGGATTTGAACCTGAGACCTCCAGGTATTTTTTGACATTTGGAGCCAAACTCAAACCAATCAAGCACCACCCTTGTCATGATGAAGATTTTATTCTAAACTAAAAATAAAAAATATTATAAATTCCATAAAAATCCAAAAAAATATGTTTAAATAGAACAGAAATTAAAGTGATGATTGAACATGTCTTGCTAACTTGACAATTTATTAAAAAAAACCCTTCAAAAAAATATATCAATATTGATATCTGTCAGAATAGTATTAGATTATTAGTCAGTTTTTGTGTTTGCAAAATAATAGG